GCTAGGAAAACTCATTATTAAAGACAAAATAACTTCTTGTTCAACCTTTCATTTATGGAACTACCTTTTTAATAGATCGAAATAATATTTTTGTAAAAGAATTACTTTTGCAAAACACTCTTTTTCACCCTTGCAATCACCTATTCAATTAGAAGATTTTTCGTTAAAAAAGTCAGGGGTTCTGTTGTAATTGTTTTTAATAAGTCATATTCAAAAGCACTTTCTTTCCATTCATTAATTACAATTTTTAAGTAATACATTTACAGATAATTTAAATAAAGCATATATAAGGGCAACAAAATAAAGACGAACAGAGAACATTAGCGTAGGTTCCTCCTGCAGTGAAAAGGAGACCATTAAACATTAATTGAGCACCAAGCAACATCTCCAGGTGCTCCTTTGAGAACCAGGGCAAAAAAGTTATGTGCACCCCTGCTAATAATCCTTTAAATTATAGCTGGAAAAATACAATCCAGAGCACATCTGTTACATAGTAACTCTTCACAGTGATTGCAATTCATGCACTAGTATGACATAAGTAATCATAGACCCTGAGCTAATTGTAAGCTGTTGGAATGCAAAAACAAGAGCAAGGGAGACTTGAATACAATGCTGCTTTCCACAGTGAGATTGTGAGCCATTTCAATTGTATTCACTTATACAATAAGTTATATTTGTACAGCACTTTTCATGGAGCTAAAAGTGCTGTAACAAGGCACACATCACAGTTTTTTCATCAGGCCAGACATTAAAGCCTTGTAGTACATATGCAGCATAACAACATGATATAACAGTTTAACAGTTTAAGAGACAAGGTATGGTAATACAAAATTAAACACAATGAAATCATAGTGATCTCCCTCAGTAAAATACAGGAAGACAAAACCAATACATACGATAAAATGTAAAAAACATTTAAATAAATAAAATAAAAACCCAAATAAGATAATAATATAAACTAAAATGATGAATAAGAAATAATAAAGGTGAAATTATTAAAAGAGCAACTTAAAAAGGAATGTCGCTAATAAAATGATAAAATAAATCATATTAAAAACATATAAAATAAGTAAAACAATATATAATAAAGAATAAAATAATATATTTTTAAAGTGGGGTGTCACCATACAAAGCTAATGAAAAAATATGTTTTTTTTAGCTGTCGTTTAAAAATGTCCACTGAGTTGGCCTCTCTGATATTTCCTAGACATTAAACTCACCATCTATCATCTCTCAAAATAAATATCTTACCTGAGACTTTGAGACCCTCACACAGGGGGATATTCATAGAACTTTCTAATTCCTGACTCCTTTTTTCTCACCTTGCCAGGTTTTTTGCCGGGGGGTCGGAGCGCAGTGGGCAGCAGATCGTAGGGCCTCCCAAGAAGAAGAGCTCCAATGAAGTGGTGGAGGATTTATTCAAGGGGGCCAGAGAACATGGGGCTGTGCCACTGGACCGGCCAGGGAGGGGGCCAGGAGAGACCAGCAAAGCCAAGGTACGGGGGAACTCTTGAGAACAACGCCATTGTCCTTTTCCCCCTCTACATCTGTAAAACATATTTGTTTTAATCGCTCAAACAGATGGGTCAGCAGTTCCATCCTCTTCTTGTTTGTAATTCTTCTTGTGCTTGATTAATCAGTGTTTATCTCCTCCTCTGCTCTTAGGCCTTTATCGGTGGGGGCTACAGGTTGGGTGCAGCTCCTGAGGAGGAGTCAGCCTACGTGTCCGGAGAGAGGCGCGGCCCTAGAAGCCAGCAAGATGTGAGTTTGTCTTAACGTCTTGCTTTGTGTCTGCCATTTTTGGCACTATTCAAGGCACAGCACAAGGGCTTATGCCATCACCCTTCTCTGACTAAACAGTCAAAAAGAACAACCTAAGAGCTAATAGAAGAATGGCCAAGCATAAAAAAACATAATTCAACAAGAAAAGTGTATTTAATGTCTATAATAAATCTGCACAAAATGTATTCAAATTGTTATTTTTACACAAACTTCATTTAGTTGCTGTGATTACTTTTGTATCAGATGTTCTGCACATGTTCTGCACTGTGTTTGTTAGTGGCTTAGGCAGTAGTGGACTGCTACTTGGAGAGGTCCCAGTTCACCTCCAGGGCCCTGCCGTGGTGCCCTTGAGCAAGGCAGCACACCTCCCCCCCCACTCCCATTGCTCCCCGGGCGCTGTACAACAGCTGCCCACTACTCCTGGTACTAGGATGGGTTAAATGCAGAGGCCAAATGTCACTGTGTGCTGTGTGCTCTACATGTGAGACCATTAACGAGGGGTTTCATCCCTCCCATTCTATCTATCTATCTAACATAAACAAAGTGTAGGAGCTAAGATGATTATTTTGTATAATTACACATTTCTATAATTATCATTAGTTTTTTATACAGAACATGGTTGTAAAAGGTCACTTCCACCAATTGTCAGATGGGTTTGGTTTCAGGGGTTGGATTCTTAGTCCACCTGTTTGATTCCGGGCTGATTTGGAAAGACAAAGGGGGTTATGAGGATTGACCGCTTGCTCCTGTTTTAGTTGTTGTTTGTTTTTATTAACATCGTTAAACTATAACTTCAGTACGGACTCTAACTTGAAGGCGTCAAAGTGATGAGCCTAACTTGGCCTCTAACCACTATCCAATAGGCGTGTGTTGCTACACAAAAAATATGTCAGATTGTATAGAAACATGTGATGGTCCACTAGCTTCATAATGTTCTATAAAATGTCCAGTCATATGACTATAGGCTTTTTAGTGTTCAGCCCTGAGCACATTTCAGTACACGCTAATTGAATGTGGTCATATTGAGGGAAAGTAAATCCATTAATGCCTCGATATGCAGCATAATTTTAAGGTTGTAGGCTACATTAAGCCGTTAACTTATAAAATATGTAGTTGGCATGCTGTGGTTCCACATGTACAGGACATACAAAGCTGTTGCTGTTTCATTTAAGTACTGCACAAGTACAGTACACACAAAAAACTAAACTAAATAAAGTCATCAGAGAAGGTCAAATTGTTCAGTTTTTGCTAAGACTAGTTGTAGGGGAATAACATATATACTGATGTTTGATCTGTCCCATTCTCTGTCTGTTGTTAGGTACACGTGGTGCTGAAGCTGTGGAAGACAGGCTTCAGTCTGGATAACGGTGATCTCAGAAACTACAGCGATCCTGGAAATGCCAACTTCCTCGAGGCCATCAGAAGAGGGTGAGAACAGTCACTAATAGAAACATTGTCAGCACACACACTTGACTCTAATGCTCCTATGTGAATATGTATATGGCTGTATGTTGACCGGTTGTCCCGCTGCAGGGAGATTCCCCTGGAGCTGAGGCAGCGGTCCCGGGGGGGCCAGGTCAACCTGGACATGGAGGACCACAGAGACGAGGACTTCTCCAAACCCAAGGTGGCCTTCAAGGCCTTTGGCGGCGAAGGACAGAAGCTGGGAACGTGAGACTGATGAGCTGTCTTGTTTATTAGTTGAACATGCTTTCCGTATTGTTTTCTAAACAAAAAGCAGCATCTAAATCAAGTCTGGAAAACTAGTTTTACCTGCTCTGCGTGAATATGAATCATCTTTATATCTGCCCTTATGTCTGGGCTCATTCCAGTGAAATTACTGCTTTCCAACTAGTCATGCGGCACTGTTTAAGCACATTAAAATACAGTTGTCCCTTCTCTTAAAGTAAAGTTAGTGGATTTTAACAGCACTTAAATAACCCAAATAAGGAAATCTACGATTGTAAATTCGACATAGTTGCTATTCAGTTATCACATTTGTAGTGTAGGCAATGTCTTGGATATTTTGTGATGGTCTGCTGCCGCATCATGTCATGCATCTTCAAACTAATAATGGGATTTGCTGCAAATGTTTTTTTTTTTAACTTGTCTTTACTGAAAAGGGGGTTTTCTATATGTAGCTAACACTGTTCGTGCTGTTGGATAAAGTAGCTACAAGTAAGAAAACATGTATTCAGTATCCAGTTCAGAATTTAATAATGTTAAACTTGGTGTTAATGGGCTTTAAAAAGCGTGGGGAGTTTATGATGCTAAGGGCCTGAGGGCAGCAGAGCTGTTGATACTTTTAAAAGCAAACTCAAGACTCGGGCTGAACGATTAATCGATTTTAAATCGAAATTGCGATTTGAAATGATGCGATTATCAAATCGCAAAGCCTGCGATTTTTTTTAAACACTTTTTTATTTATTTTTTTACATTTTTTTATTATTTTTTTATTGTGTGTCAGTCATCCACACCAATCAGAAGTGCTGTGCCCCACATGCAACAGCCATTGTTAACCAATCAGAAGTGGCCCATGATAGAAGGTGATAGACAGATTGATCCAATCACCTGCCAAGTATTTTTGAAAGTGCCTGCCCTTTGCAAATGGCTTCCAATGGAGCTTCCCTAGATGGTTTGGTGAAACAAACCATCTGAGTCAGGTTAGTAATGCTCCATCACATGTTCTACATCTATTACAGGGTGAATCTTAAACTGAAGCTTGACTTTAAAGCAACCCAACGGAAGTTTCATGTAAGTTTAGTTATTTCACTCGTAGCTCGGGCTGCGGGGTTGCTAAGGACGGGAGCATGTTGATACGACCTTCCTAGCCGGAGATATGGCCGCATTTTACAATAACCTTACGTTGGGTCGCTTAAAAACAAATATCGCAAATCGCAATCGCAATATTTGTCAGAAAAATCGCAATTCGATTTTTTCCCAAAATCGTGCAGCCCTAAGACCCTCCTAATTGCATCTCACCGAATTGTATTTATTTCTTATTTAAATTATTTTGATACATTTATTTTTTTTATTTGTGATAGTGTTTCCCCATGTTTACTGCCTTTGCAGGGTGCTGCTCGGGTACCCCCCCAACATTTTTTTATCCTCTGGAGCAGAGAGAGGAGCTGTGGATTATTGTTATTGATATCGTACAGTAACAACGTATTTGTACATTATCAAGTACAGTGTTACACTGTACTAATTACTTTAATTCAAACTGTATTCCCTTCTTATCATGTAGCCTACACTTCTTCCTTTCATTGATACATTTAAATCACCTGACTACAGCATATAACATACCTGCTGCAACCCTGTGCTGCTGCTGCTTCTCTCTGCCTCATCCTCTATTGCTGGAGGCAGCTCCACCTCCTCTGATCTCTGATATGAAAGCAATCGTGTTATGATCATATTGAGCTATTGGTGTGAGTCTAACATTAAACAAGCAGTCTGCTTGTCATACATTGCTGACGATACATTTTAAGAGGCAATTTGTTGAGTCTCTGCTGCTAAATGCCATTAGCTTCAAGCTAGCAAATCCTCCATTAGCCTCACATCAACAGGTGTAGACAGAACATCCAATTATCCTGAGCTAATTTACTGAATAAACCAACTCACATCTCCTGTCTTTTTATTCAGCCGACTCATTCGACTATTCTTCTGCTGGCGTTTCATTGTTGTTTTCTGTCAAATTCAATACTGTAGTTCAAAACCGCGGTACCTGCTCACCATCTGTGAGCTATTTTTAGAATGCGCACGCTACGTTCGTTGTCGCGTTCGCGCGCGTCCACCTGGGCAGGCTGTTTGTGTCCTTCTCCCGTGACGATAACGGCTTGCGGTTAAAATATAATAATAAACTAATTTGAAACTGGGGGGGA